TCTAATTCAATCTCCCACTTTAATAAATGTTGACTGAATGGAAACAAATGCAGAAATCCCCTTTATAATATGACTGAGCAGTCAGTCGATAAACATTCATTAAGTACCCACTAATTGCCAGGTGCTGTACTAAGCGGGGATGCAGCGAAAAACCCAAGACAGCTCACAGTCTAGTGGAGGAGACGACATGCAAACAACTACATATATGCAAGCCTTGCAAGCTATATATGGGGTAACTTGGAAATAATCAATTGAAGGAAGGCACTAGAATTAAAGGAGATTGGGAAAGGCTTCCTGTAGAAGGAAGCATTTTATCTGAGATTTGAAGGAAGCTAGGGAAGCTGGAGGCAGAGATGAGGAGAGAGAACATTCCAGGCATGAGGGATAGCCAGGGAAAAGTCATGGAGTTGGGAGATGGCGTGTTATATGCTAAGAATAGCAAGTAGGCTGTTGGAGCTGGGTCCTGGAGTATGTGGAGTGAAGTGTTAAGAAGACCAGAAAGGTGGGAAAGGGCCAGGTTGTGAAGGGCTTTTTGATATTTGATCCTGAAGGTAGTTGGGAGCTACTGGAGTTTATTGAGTAATGGAATAAATGCATAAATGATCATCTAGCCTCTGCTTGACTACTTCCAGTGACGAAGACCTCACTACCTATTGAGGTAACCCATTCCGTGGCTGGATAGCTCCTGTATATTGTCTGTATATTGACCCAGACTCTGTCTCCCTATAAATTTCCTCCATTGCTCCTCATTCTACCCTCTGGTGTCAAGCAGAACAAAGAGAATTCTTTCCCATGATAGTTCTGTAAATACTTCAAGACTGAGATTGTGTATCTCTTCATCCCCTCCTTATCAGTCCCAAATCTTCTTTAATCCTAAAGGCAGCTAGATGGCACACTAGATAGAGTGCTGGAGTTGGGAAGACTTGAGTTCAGATCTGGTCATAGGTGCTAGCTGTGTGACCCTCGGCAAGTCACTTAACCTCTTTCTGTCTCAGTTTTCTCTACTGTAAAATGGGAATAATAGCATCTACCTCCCAGCATTGTTGTGAGGATCAAATGAGATGATATTTGTAAAGTGCTTAGCACAATGCCTGGTACATAGGAAGAGTTTAATAAATGTTTATTTCCTTCCTTTCTCTCCCTGGTTATATTCCTTTATATGGGCTTTAAGAATATTAGCATGTGACAACCATATAACACTTTAAAATTTACAAAGCACTTTACATATGTGATCTCATTTAGTCCTCACTACCCCTCTTTGAGGTAAGTATTGTTGGTATTATTTTCATCCCCATTTTATAGATGAGGAAAACTGAGTCTTAGAGAGGTTAAGTGACTTACCCAATATCACACAACTACTGTCAGAGGCAGGATTAGAACCCAGGTCTGTTTTGATTTGAAGTCCAGCAGTCTATACAGTGCTGCCTCCTTGCTCCAATGTATTTCTGTCTTTCTTGGCAAGAGTAGTATGTTGCAGTAGAAAAAGTTCTGAGCTTGGAATCAGGAGACCTGGTTCTAGTCCTGGCTCTCTCACTTAACTCAAAGCCTCAGTCAGACCCTGTAATCACCCCTTTGGGCCTCCAGGGGAAGAGGGGACAGAAGGAAGAATCATACCTGCCTTCCCCTACCCTCTAGGGATTTTGTGAAGTAAAATAAAACAAAATGAGGGGCAGATGAGAAAGCCATTTGCAAGCCTCCTGCTCCTCTGTACTCAGGTAAGGAACTGTCACTGCTTCCCTTTGACAGGACTAATTGTCACTTAGGTAAGATACTGTCCTCCAGGCTGGCCCCACCCATCTTGCAGAGGCCAGGGCCCTGGGTGGTCTGTCCCCACTCTTCCTCCCTCTTGGAAAAAATGGCAGCATGGACTTTCCCTGATGCCAGCCATCCTTGGGGAATGACCCTAAGGGAGGGGACAATTCCTTTGCCCATAGACCACATAGATCTTTCATACCCTTTAACTTACAAAGTTTTTTCATATTTTTTTTTCTCACTTGATCTTCTCACAGTAGTCCTTTAAGGCAGGTAAGGTGGGTGTGATTATTTCCATTTTACAGATGGGGAAGCTAGGGCACAGAGAGGGGAAGTTACTGGCCAAGGTCACACAGCTAGTTAGTGGTAAGCAGGTGCTAAAGTCCAAGACTCCTAGTTTTTAGAAGTTTTTTTTTTTCTTACTCTACCACTGGAACCGCCATAGCTGTAGTTTCTCCATCAATGATAAACCAGTCTATGTCAAAGGCAGGAACTGAACCCAAGGACTCATCTTGATTTTCCATCTCAGGCTTGTGGTGAACTAGATGTGGGGTAAAGTGAGGTCCATCCAGCAGTCAGTCAATTGACAAGCTCACAACGTGTCATCACTGTCTAAGTACTGGGTATGCAGAGAAAGGGGAAGTTCACCTTCTAATTGGGGAGACAACATGCAAATATCCGTGTACGTGCAAGATATCTACAGTATACATAGAAGATAATCTCAGAGGGAAGGGACTAGCAGGGCTAGAGAGAAAGAGTCCCAGGAAAGGCCTTCTATGGAAGGTGGGAGTTGGGCAAGAGCCTTGACAGGGCGGTTAAGAGATGGAGGTGAAGAGGGGTACAGCCAGTGTAAAGTCCCACAGATAGGGGATGAAGTGCTGTGTGTAAGGGAGAACAAGGAGGCCAGTGATGCAGGATTAAAGAATGCATGAAGAGGAGAAAAGTAAAGACTGGAAAGGTAGAAAGGGTCCAGGTCATTTAGAGCTTTAGATGCCAATCAGAGGACTTCATATTTTATCCTGGAGGTAACAGGGAGTTGCTAAAGTCCATTGAGTGAGGAAAGAGAGGTGTTGTGTGTGTGTGTGTGTGGTGTGAGAGAGAGACAGACAGACAGACAGACAGAGACACAGAGACAGAAAGAGAAAGAGAGAGACAGAGACAGAAAGACAGATAGAGACAGATCAACAGAGAAAGAGACCGAGACAGAAAGAGAAGGAGAGGCAGAAACAGAGACAGAAAGAGAGAGAGACAGAGACAGAGAAAGAGAGGCAGAGACAGAAAGAGAGAGGTGGAGACAGAAATCAACAGACAGACAGAAAAACTGAGACTGAGACAGAAAGAGAAAGAGAGAGGCAGAAACAGAGACAGACTTAGAGACAGAGTCAGATCTGCATGTTAGAGAAATCACTTTGGCATCTGCATGGAGGATAGATTAGATTGGGGAGAGAGACTTGAGGCATGGAGACCACATCAGAAGGCTATTACAGTAGGCTGGGTGAAAGGTGATGAGGACCTGAATCTCGTGGTGATTGTGTAAAGAGATAGAGAAGTACATGAGAGCTTCTGTAAATGTAGAAATGACAGGATTTGGCAAAGGATCGAGTATCTGAGGTGAGGGGGATCGAGTCATTAATGACACTGAGATTTCAAGCCTGCTTCTCCAAAAGGATGGTCGTGTGCTCAATACGGATAGAGAAGTTTTGGTTGGATTTGAGGGAAAAGATAATGCATTTTGTTTGGGGAGTGTTGAGTTTGAGATGCCTTGAAGACATCCAGTTCAATAGGGGGTTATTAATGCAATACTGTAGCTCAGGAGAGAGATTAAGGCTGGATATATAGGTTTGAGAATCATCTGCAGAGAGATAATTGAACTCAGAGAAACTAATGAGATCACCAAGTGAAATCATAGAGAGGGAGAAGAGAAAAGGGGCCAGGACAGAGCCTTGGGGGACACCCACGATTAGCAGGCATGGTATAGATGAAGAACCAGTAAATGATTCCTAGGAATGGTCAGACAGGTAGTTAAAAGCAGTGTAAGCAAAACCTAGGAAAGAGAAAGTGTCCAGCACAAGCTGAGAGGTCAAGAGGAGAAAAATTGAGAAAAGACCTTTAGATTTGGCAATTAAGGGATTGCTGGCAACTTTGGAGAGGGCAGTTTTGGTTAAATTATGAGACTGGAAGCCAGGTACAGTGGGTTTAGAAGGTGAATGACAGGAGAGGAAGTGGAGGTCTCTAGTATAGATAGCTCTCTCAAAGAACTTAGTGGTGAAGAGGAGGAGATACAGGAGAGGAGATAGCAGGGACTTATGATAAACTGTACCTTCTCAAAGAGAAGAAACAGTACTGGCCTGAGCAATCAGACCACCTTCTCCACGGCCTGTTCTCCTGGCTTCCATGCATAGTCAGGCATTAGCCTACTTTTGTAGCCTCATCTCCTCTAACACATTCTAAGTTCTAGATCAACTGAATGACTCATGTTCCTCCAAATATATCCCACTCTTTCTCACTTCCATATCTTTGCTCATGATGTTTCTTATGCCTGAAATCTCCCCCTGCTCCCCCATGTACACACTCTACCTATTGACATCCTGCTAGTCCCTCAAAGCCAATCTCAAATACCACTTCCTCCAGGAAGCCTGATCCCACTCACCCATCCAATTAACAAAAACCTTTCCTTCCTTGTACCTCAAAATAATACTTTATTTGCCCTTCTCCAATGTACTTATCACATTCCACTTTGTATTCTATTCAGTAATATCCTGGTCTTGTCTCTTTGATTATACAATAAACTCCTCAGGTTCATAAGATTTAGAACTGGAAGGACTCTTACTGATCGTCTAGTCCTATGTCCTCAGTTTACAGGGGAAGAAATTGAGATCCAGTAAAGTTAAATTGCTGAAGGTCTCAGAGATAGTAAGTGGCTGGGCCAGGATTCGAGCCTGCATCTTGTGACTTGAAATCCAAGGATCTTTACACTACACACCATACCACCCTTGTAGACAGGCTCTGTACCGAATTTATTTTTGAGCCCCACTCCCTCTCAGTGTCTTGGATGTAGCAGGCACCTAATATCCTTGTTGAATTAAATTCACAGACAGCGAACAGATGGTGTTGTTGAAGAGTAGGTCACTTGGACCTCACCTGGGATCCAAGCTGAATGAAGTCAGTGCATACAATCTGCAGATTCTTCTACCGTTTCAGTCCTTCCTCTCTCAACTCAGTGTCCATCTGTCCCTTTTGACTTATAGCTGTCCAGAATGAACGGGACCGGATCAGTACACGGAGATCAAGCTATGAAGACAGCAGTCTCCCGTCCATCAATGCCCTCCTACAGGCTGAAGTACTCTCCCAGCAGGTACCAGGCCAGCCTTAGCAGGACAGGGGTGGGAGTGAGAGGAGTGGGGTAGGGGTTGGGGGGGAAGAGGCCTGGAGGGCTCCCAAAATGCTGCAGGGATCAAGGGGAAATGTGCTTGGAATATTTCAAAAGATCTGTAGGACCATAGAACTTTATAACATAGAATACTGAATGTTAGTGCTGGGAGAAATCTTAGAGCATAGAATGTTAAAATTGGAAGGAATCTCAAAACAAAGGAGGCATAAGCAGCAAGGGACCCTCTCATCCAATCCATCTCTCTCTTTTTCCAAACAGAGAGAGAGAGAGAGAGAGAGACCTGAAGAGAGGGAGTGATTTAGCTGGGATCACACATCTAGTTCTGGCAGAGCTGGAACAGCAAGGGGATAGTTAGGTCCCCTGAGTCTTGTGGGATTTTCTGATCCCAGCCAGTCAGGGTCAGGTCAGGCAACTACAGATCTTAAGTTCTAGCAGGGAGTATACAGGCCCATCCTCACCAAGATTGGCAGCTTTGGGCCTCCCATTTTTTCCCCTCTTCTGAGACTCCTATAACCGTCAGTAATAGCTTCTGGGTCAGTCCCAAGGACTCTGTAGACCAGGGCTTTGCCTCCAATCATCATTCAGAACGATCATCTGTGGGGAGTCAAGGCTGTCTGGATAGGGATAAGGATCATATGCCTGATCTCATCCCTCACCCCTTATTGCAGTATAATGCTATTTTTTGTAGTACATAAATCCACCTGTTCACATTAAAAAAAATTCTTACCTCAAATTAATGTAACTTATGGGAAGAGATGAAAGTGAACTTGAAGTAGGGAGGACCTCTTCTAGAATCAGTTCTACCATATGCTGTCTGTGCAATCTTGGGCAGGTCATTTCTTTCTGAGTAGCCTTTTCCTTATTTGAAAAATGAGTAGGTTTGGTGAAGGGGTATTGATGGTCCCCTTCTAGCTCCTACATTCTATGACCAGGGTTCTGCTACCTAGTACTTTCATCAGCACTTGTAATGGATTGACAGTACCTCAGTGACATTGGGAAAGTCATTTTTCCTTTCTGGTCTTGGTTTTGTCAACTAATTCCCTGTGTGATCCTAGACAAATCACTCCCCTGTTTGTGTCTTGGGTTCTTCATCTATAAAATGAGAGAGATGAACTAGATAACCTCTAAAGAAAGGGTTAAAATATTTTGATAACTATATTTCAATATAACTGGTCTCCATTATAATTGTTTGTATTTTATTTTATTCATTTAAAAATATTCTGGGAAGGGGCCCATAAGTTTCTCTAGATGACCCCAGGAGTCAATGACACACACAAAAAGATTACAAATGCCTGCTCTAAGGTCCCTTTCTGCTCTATTCTGTGAGAATATGATTCTAAGTCTGAGGAAGTAGAAAAACTGCCAAGCCTGTGATCAGGAATCTGTTTCTTCTGTCTTCATTCCATTCCCGTAATAATCTCCCTTTTCTCAATATAAATCCTTTGCCTCCCTGGCAGATGACATCTCCCATCTCAGGAATCAACGGGGACATCCGGGCCAAGAAAATCGCTAGCATTGCTGATGTATGTGAATCCATGAAGGAGCAGCTTTTGGTGCTGGTGGAATGGGCCAAATACATCCCTGCCTTCTGTGAACTGCCCTTGGATGATCAGGTATCCCAGAAAGTAGCATAGGGTACATCAGAACATCTTTAGGGTGGGGGAGTTATCACTGCCATTTGAGGTGCTGTGGATATACTCTGTGGATACATGGTGACTACCTTGAGTTTGCCTCCTAGAAATGGCATGGGGCCTGCTTCTGGTAATGGTGGTAAGGCAGCAGGATAATGATGGAAAAAGCATCAAATCTGGTGTCAGAAGACCCAGGTATGAATCTCAGCTCTGCCCCTTAGTACCTGTGTGACCTTGGCCAAGTAATTTTTCCTTTTTGGGCCTCAGTTTCCTTCTCAATAAAATAAGAAGTTGGATTAAATGATTTAAGGTTTCTTCCAGCTCTAACCCTACAATATGACCAAGGCCACACAGTGACTAAGTGGAAGAGCCCTCAGGACTCCCAGAATCACAGGCGCTCAGGCCATAGGACAGAATGTCAGAGTTAACAGGGACCCTGGAACATCAAGAGTCAGAGCGAGATGTAGGGGTGTGCTGGAGCTGGCTCCAGGCAGGAGCTGACTGTTAAACTTTCAGTGTGAGCATTTACACCTTAGAAATCTGCAAAAGCTACCAATTAGGGCTTGATTTATTGTTTTGTTGATTATCTGGACTTTGAAAAAGTCAGAGAGAAAATGCTGACAATGCAGATTATATTTAAAGTGTGCATCACATACATTGAGTCAGTTACTTGTTACCAGCAAGAAGAAATCTTAGAAGCCTATCTAGTCTCAGCCCCTTCATTTTATATAAAAGAAGCTAAGGTCAATTGAGGACTTGCCAAAGGTTATACATCAAATTAATCACGCGTGGATCTGGGACAAGAACACGGGTCTCCTGACCACTTCCCAGCCCATTCCAAATCCCTGGTCTGCTTATGCTACCTCTCAGCAGTGCAGGGCCTGGGTGACACCTTCCCACTTGGGCCTCTGAACCTCTTTCCCTCTCCCCTTACTCAGGTTCCCCTTGACTTTAAAAGGTACTGGCAAACTCATTGTAATACCCGAAGTGTCACTAGCTAATAAAGCTTAACTTCTTCTCCCTTCCCAGTATTATTGGCATTATCACACTATGATATCCTAAAGGAATGAAAAATGGTAGGATTTCAGTGACAGATTGATTTGGGGGACAAGAAAGGCCTCCCTGGAACACCTCAAATAATACCTGTATGTGAGGCTAGGCCACTCTAGAGCTGCACCGGGTAAAGAGGTAGCTTATTCTGCCTTCCATATATCAAACAGTTCCAGGGAATAGTGGAAAGTTTGCAGTCAGAGTGCTGAAGTTTGAATCCCTGTTCTTCTGTTTACTATCTGTGTGGTATAAGGAAGTCACTTCTTCTATAGGGATCTCCCTTTTTCCCATCTATAGAATGTGAGGGGTAGACTGGGCTCTAAGGTTCTCTCTACCTGTGAAGTCCAGGACTCTCATTCTTCAGAGTGGACTGAGCTGGGCCTCTGGCAGGGCACCAGCTCTTTGCCCTCCTACCCAGAGAGGGGCTCATTCTTCTCCAACTGCTTGAACTGTTCCTCCCTCCACCCCCCATGCCAGGCCCAGGTCCATGCATTAATGTTTAATCCCTGCTGTTCCTCCCCAGGAGTCCCAGTGGGTTTAGAGACACTACTAAGCCAACCAATTGTTAACCTCCTTTTCTCACCTAAATCTTGGAACTACTCCTGGGCAGGGGCTCAGAACATTCTGCAGGGGCAGTGATGGGTGGCAGATAGCAAGGGGAATAATTAACCCCCAGTCCCCAGCGATGGCTGGTGTGGTGGCTACCACCAGGGGCCAAGATGGCCTTGGGAAACGGAGCTAAACTGGGCTGCCCTCGGTATATGGGAAACATTTCTGGGAGAATGTCGCTGGTTGGGTCATATGGAATACCTCCTTCTTCAGGGTGGATAAAAGCGTAGGGTGCCCTGGAGACCCACAACAAGTCTACTTCCAGAGCTGGGTTTGATTTTGGTCAAATCACTTTCCTCCTCTGAGCCTTGTTTTTCCATCTTTGAAATGATGTTGTACTAAATAATCTCTGAGGCTGTTCCATCAGGACCTACCATTCAGTGTTCTATGTCTTAAGGCTGTATCCAACTCAGAATGTCTATGACTTTGCTCAGACACAGGGAATTAGAGCTGCTCTTGTCTCTCGGACTCGGGGTTAGAAGATTTGGGTTCAAGTCTAGGCTTTGCCACTAATTTGCTGTTATATCGTGGTTGGGCAGATGATCCTTCTGAGCCTCAGCTTCTTCATCCATGAAATGGTTACTTTAATCCCTGCCCTGCTGAACCCCACAGGGATGCTGGGATGATTCAGCACAGTGATGAATAGAAAAGCACTTTAGAAAAGGTAAAATCCTGTTCACAGGGAAGGCATGGTTATTGTTCTCATAGCAGAGCTGATGTGGCCGGTGCTTCAAAGGCAGAGAGCAGCTGTGAGACTCTCTAAAGTCCACGGGACTACTTAGCAGCAGTGTTGGGACGAGAAGTTTCTAAATTCTAGTCACCTGATGTGGAAGGCACACGGCCTCATCTAGATTGGCAGCCTCCTGGGGCCACGGGCCACATGTTTCCCCGTACCGGGCTCTTGAAGTAAAGTAGAAAGAACAGGGATGAAAACTCATTTTCAGCCAAGGAATTTACTGCTTTCCTCTGGGTAGGAGAATGGAATGGCAGGCATAGGAGGGGTGTCTCCTAAGAAGCTATTAGTTACCTCCTTCCCTACCCTAAGGAAAGAGCTTGGCTGATGGGAGAACTTGTTACCTTTTGCTCTGACCAGTAAAAGTGATTTTAGTCTTCCTAATACAGTCTTGCAGATAGGAGCACCATGGTTACCAACTGTCCAGCGTTTTTACCAGCTAGCTTGCCCAATGATGTACAGCTGTTCTCATATATATAAGCATAACAGGGACAATAATAATAGCTAGCACTTTATACTGCCCTAGTAGTCTGTGTAACACCTGTCAAAGAATAGACCAGCCATCCAGGTTGCTTGGTCTCTTTGGGGTTCAGTTACCTCATCTATAAAATCAGAGGGATTATACTAGACTTCTAAGGTCCTTTCTAGCTCTAAATCCATTATTCTATGACCTTCTCCCTTGAGTTCCCAGGATGCTGACCCTTCTCTCTTGACTTTCAGGTGGCCCTGCTTCGGGCTCATGCTGGGGAACACCTGCTGCTGGGGGCCACCAAACGGTCCATGGTATTCAAGGATGTGTTACTGTTAGGTGAGTGCTCTGACTTTTAATTCTGCCTGACCAATTGACCTGAAAGGAACTTCCATAAGGAAATTCCATGGGAATAGGGCCATGGGAAGAAGAGCATGATGAGTGTTTCCTGCCTTGGGTGGGGAGAGTCATCAAGGAATGAAAAGAGAAAAGAAAGAAAAAAGGAAAGAAAGAGAATCTTGAATCTCTTAGAGTCTTTCCTACCTCCAAAGTACAAAATCCGTGACTTGGGGTCTGTTGAAAAGACCTTTCTTTAGATGTGACCTGTTAGAGCACTGTGTAATAGAGCCCTGGACTCAGTGTCTACCTCAGTTTCCCATTCATAAAATGGAAATAAGCGAGATTGTTTAGTGGATTGGGAGTCAGGAGGTCTGTTTTCAAATCCTGACTTTGCCAGTTATTCTTCGGTCTTTCTGGTTCCCACCTGGTTCCACATCTGCAAAATAAATGGGCTGAACAAAATGATTGATCTCTAAGGTCCTTTCTGGCTCTAAATGGATGGATGACCTCATGACTCCTGCCCTGCTGGCCTCATTGGCTCTTGTGAGGATCACAAAAGATTGTGTCTGCAAAAATGATTTTGCAACCAAAAAGCACTATGTAAACACCAGCTATTGTTATTAGAATAGGAACATTATTTTCAAGGCCTGCCATATATGTGCATGATGTATACATGTGTGTGCACATACATACATATATGTATATGCATGTACAATGTGTATAAGTATGCACAGATGCATGCATATGTGGGTGTAAAAGTGCATGGTACATGTATTTACAGTAATGCATGTCTGGTTAAATACACAAATGTGTATATAACCCAGAGAAACATATATAAATGTTGTTTGTGTGCACATGTGTTATATGTATACATGCACACGTGTGTATACAGGTGTGTCGCACTTGTGTGTGTGTGTGCGTGCGCGCGTGTGTGTGTGTGTGTGTGTATACACACAAATTAGTCCTCAGAATGTTCACTGAATTGACTGGACTGCTGCGACCTGTCCCCTAACACATTTAGGCAACGACTACATCGTCCCACGGCACTGCCCCGAATTGGTGGAAATGAACCGTGTTGCAGTGCGAATCCTGGACGAGTTGGTGCAACCCTTCCAAGAGCTTCAGATTGATGACAATGAATATGCCTGTCTGAAGGCCATCATATTCTTTGACCCAGGTAGGTGAACTCAAGCAAGCCCTCCCTGACCCCTGATTCAGTGGGAACCAGTCCCATCAGCCCTTACCTGATCAGAGGTATCAACAGGGGCTGTCATTCCCAGATATTAAGTCCCTGAGCCTGTCGTCCTAGGAAGGACCCAGGGAAGTCAGGTCTCCCAAAGGCCTGATGGTGGCAGGGTTTGTCACCCTTGATAAGCCACAAAACAATCATATGATTCATAGGTTCATCGTTGGGATCATAGTTACAGAGTTGGAAGAAACCTCAAGCCATCCAGTCTAAGTATTTTCAGCTGAGGAAACTGAGACGTAGGGAGATTAGGTGATTTGCCCAAGGTCATATGTATCAGTGGAATTTGAACCCAGGTTCTCAGACTCCAGAGTTTTTTCAAAGATAACTGACATTTATTGAGTACCCTCAGGTTTGTGCAGCACTTTGGGCGCTAGTACTTTCCATTTGCATGCCTTCCCTCGATTCTTTCCAGTTTATCCTTGTTTGTGCATAATTGTTTTCATGTCGTCTCCCTCACTAAGACAGTGAGTATCTTGAAGGCGAGGACTGTCTTTTACCTTTCTCTGCATCCTTCTCTCCTAGCCCAGTGCCTGGTGCATAGTCAAGTCACTTAATAAATGTTTATTGGCTGACTGACTGATCGCCTCCTCTCCTCTTGTTTCTGCATAGCACCAAGGGTAGGGCCAGGAACATAGTAGGTGCACAGACTGAGAATTGCTTTTCTGGTGCTCCAGTCAGAGCCAGAACCTTGGACTGGATGAGCCACAGGGCTGAGATTGCCTGGTGTAGTGAAGAGAGTACTGTACTCCTGACCTGAGTTCTGGTCCAGGCTTCACTTGTAACTCAGTGCATAACATTGGACAGGTCCCTTTTTCTTTCTGGAGCTCTGTCATCTCATCTATAAAATGGAGGAAGCACCATGGGAAAAGTGTTGGGCTTGGAGCCAGGGAACCTGGGTTTGAATCCTGCCTCTGACATTGAGAGCCTGTGTGACCTTAGGCAAGTCATTTAACATCCCTGGGCCTCATTTTCCTCTTCTGAAAAACAAGAGGTTAGGATTAGACTATTTCTAAGGTTCCTTTCAACTCCAAATCAAGGGCTTAAATCTAGGATCTAGGATCCTGTGGAATGACTTACCTGCCTTAGCTACCAAGAAGCTCAACCAGGTAATTTCTTGAGGTTACTTCCAGTTCTATGAGCTAAGATTCTGTTTCTTTAGAGATGGATGTCATGGTTCTAATTCCATAACCCCAACATTAGTTCGATTTAAAAAGCCCTATAATGGCTAGTCAAAAGACCTGCCACTCACTCACTGTATGGTCTTAAGGAAGTCATTTTTCTTCTCTGGGCCTTAGTTTACTCCTTTGGAAAATGAGCGGATTATACTAGACCAGCACTTCTTAAACCGCGGGTGGCAACCCATATGGGGTCTCAAAAAATTGGACAACAGTAAAAGGTTTCTGAATATGCAACGCCCCAAAATTAATTCAAAATCAAATGTGTAATGAATCCAAGGTGTTTCTGACAGCGTTTGTCCCTGCTGCATCTCGACTTCACTGCAATCTTGGTTCTGAACACAAAGCATGCATACTTTGCACTGTGCATGCCCTCAGGTCATGCAACCACAATGCTGCTGACCAGTGGAAAAAGTTTAAGAAGCCCTGGACTAGATGATTTCCAAGACCCTTTCCAAATCTAACAATCTCTGTTCTTTGGTCCACTCTCGTTCTGACTTTCCTTGCCCAAAGGCCTGTGACTCAAACCTTTCTTGCACTTCTTTCCTGGCCCATTACAGATGCCAAAGGGCTGAGCGACCCTGGTAAAATCAAGCGGATGCGGTCACAGGTGCAGGTGAGCCTGGAGGACTACATCAATGACCGGCAGTACGACTCTCGGGGTCGCTTTGGGGAGCTGCTGCTGCTGCTGCCCACCCTGCAGAGCATCACCTGGCAGATGATCGAGCAGATACAGTTCATCAAACTCTTTGGTGTGACCAAGATCGACAACTTGCTGCAGGAGATGCTGCTGGGGGGTCTGTTCCAGTTGTCTCCTCCCCCCACCCTCACCCACACCCACCACCTGGGGGAGGGGAGGCTTGGCTCTCAAGGTCCCCACTCAAGTCACCCACACAGGGCATTGGCCCCAGCTGTCCCCACCCCAGAGTGGGACCGGAGGCTTTGTGGACTTAGAAGTTAGGAGGGGCCTTTAGAACACAGAATGTCAGAGCTGGAAAGAACACAGAATATGAGAGCTGGAAGGGCCCTTAAAACATGGAATGTCAGTGCTGGAGGGGCCTTTAGAACACAGAATGTCAGAGCTGGGAGGGCCTTTAGAACACAGAATGTCAAAGCTAGAAAGAACACAGAATATCAGAGCTGGAAGGGCCCTCAGAACATGGAATGTCAGTGCTGGAGGGGCCTTTAGAACACAGAACGTCAGAACTGGGAGGGCCTTTAGAACACAGAATGTCAAAGCTAGAAAGAACACAGAATACCAGAGCTGGAAGGGCCCTTAGAATGTGGAATGTCGGGACAGCTAGATGTCGCAGTGAATAGAGCACCGGCCCTGGATTCAGGAGGACCTGAGTTCAAATCTGGCCTCAGACACGTAACACTTACTAGCTGTGTGACCCTGGGCAAGTCACTTAACCCCCATTGCCTAACCCAAAAAAACAAAATAAAAAAAAGAACATAGAATGTCAGAGCTGGGAGGGCCATTAGAACACAGAATGTCAAAGCTAGAAAGAACACAGAACATCAGAGCTGGAAGGGCCCTTAGAACATGGAATGTCAGAGCTGGAGGGGCTTTTGGAACACAGAATGTTAGAGCTGGAAGGGGCCTCAGAACACAGGATGTCAGAGCTGTGAAGGGACTTAGAATACAAAATGTCAGAGTTGGGAGGATCCTTAGAGCACAGAATGTCAGAGCTGGAAGGGACCTCAGAACACAGAATGTTATATCTGAAAGGGACCTTAGGGATTATCTGGTTCAAACCCCTCATTTAACTGAGGGAAATGAGAATGAAAGTACTATTCAAGCTTATTTAGCTGGACTAGAAACGGTATCTCATTTTATTCCCAGAATCCTAGTCTGAGACAAGTAGGGCAGATATTAAGCTCCTGTGACCTAGTGTTCCTAATTTTACTGTCTCCACTCTCAGGATCCTCCAGTGAAGCACCCCACACTCACCACCCCTTGCACCCACACTTGGTGCCAGAGAACATGGGCACCAATGTGATAGTTGCCAATACCATGCCTGCCCAGATCAGCAATGGACAGATGTGTGAGTGGCCCCGTCCCGGGTGGCGGACAGGTGGGCAGCCCTGGCTTTTCTGGGGAGAGGGAGGCTTTTCTGGGGGAGGGAAGTCTCAAGGAGCTAAGGGTGGGTTGTGGGATCAGAATCAGTGCCCCACTCTGTTCTCCAGGGTGGGAGAGAAGAAAAACAAAGTGATCTGCACACATGGGATCAGTTTCCCAAAGCCAAGACTAGAATAAGATAGTATGAGCTTCTGACTTCTCAGAGGAGGGGGGATGCATGCCCTCCCTAGGATGCCAGGCCACCAGGTATTGACTTAGGTACTTGCTGCTTTTTCCCCAAAGGGCAGGTTCCTTCCAGACCACTTGACATTATGCTTTGGTTTGGGGTGGAGAAGTCTGGCTTCCTTGCTCAGGCTGGAAGAAGAGACAATGATGCTGGGAACAGGAAGGGGATGTCCTAGAATGCAGGGGAAATATTCCAGCCAGGAACTTACCATCTTTCTGTTACAACCCATTTAGCCACAAGCCCTCGTAAAATCTCAAATTTTAGAGCTGGAAAAATCCTTAGACCACAGAACGTAGAATGTTAGAACTGGAAAGAACCAGAGATTACCTAGTCCATAGCCCTTATCATACAGCTGTGGAAGCTGAGACCCAGGATGAAGGGGGTGGGGTGTGGAGTAATGACTTGGTCCAAGGTCCCACCATAAGTTAGTGCCAGAACCAGGACTAGAACCACGGCCTCGACTCCCAAGTCCAGGTATTTTTTCCATTACAACTCACTGCCTCCTATTCCCAGAGGCTTTCTTTTATCTCTCAGGGAGCCAGAAGTGCTCTCGCTCTGACTGAGCGGGTGGTATTTGTCTCTTTGTCCTTTCAGCCACTCCTGAGACCCCACAACCATCTCCGCCAGCCAGTTCAGGGCCTGAGCCCTACAAGCTCCTGCCAGGAGCCATCGCCACAGTGGTCAAGCCTCCATCAGCCATCCCTCAGCCCACCATCACCAAGCAGGAGGTCATCTAACATGGGGCTGGAGGGGTCAGGGGAGGCCAGCCAGACACTGCCCCTCCCAGCCTGGCTTTGTCCTTCCCTGGCCTCCAGAGGGACCAGCCCCCCGAGAACTCCCAGCGCTCTTGGTGAAGTAGGACAACAAGACCTGCCCTGGGATCCTAACGGCACAATGGAAAGCCAGGGCTCAGGCTGAGGGCTCTAGCTGCCGACTTCCGTGACTTAATGCAATCCTTCTCCTATTTGGGAGAACATTGGGGGAGGTTGGGAACAGTCACCATTGGGTGAGACTAGTTGTTTCTCAACGCTTTCTCCCCACCCAACCAGTTTCCTCATCTCCTGACTCTGCTCCAAAACAGCTGCCACCTTTTCTTCTTGGGATCTTTCTAGAACCACCAGTTAGGACACCCCTCCTGTCTTCTTTTGGAGACTAAAAGCCCTGAGACTCAGAGTCCTTTGGGGAGAGGATGGGCCAGGCCAGGACTCTCTCTCTCTCTCTCTCTCTCTCTGCCTACTTCCACTGCCATCCCAGTCCCAATATCCCTAAGAACTTTCTTAGAGGGAATCTTCCTCTCCAGGCTGGAGAAGACTTGGAGACTGAAACTGTGATAGTTCAGTCATTTGACAAACTTTATGAAGCATCTATTAGACCAAACTGTGTGCCAAGCACCGTATGGAACACAGATGAAGAAGATAGCTCCCACACTTAAGGAGCGGGGGCGGGGCTAGCTGGGAAGACAAGAAACACAGGCATAAAACGACTAGAAGACAATTCAAGGCAATCAAAATGTAATAGGAATCCAGGAGAAGGAAAAGACTCACTGTGGATTGGGGGACAGTCCAGCAGGGCTTCACAGACAACCGGATTTGCATTTGTGTTGACAAATAGGGAAAATATTCCAAATGGGGGCAGATCTGGGAATCAGTCCTGTTTGTGATGAGACCAAGTGCATTCAGGTACAGTGAGTCATGGTCTTAGGTAAGGTGAGGCAAGTTGAAGGAGAGCCTTGAAAGCCAGTATAGACTTAATTGTTAATATTTTAGGTTCTTCAACCAGGGAGGGGGCAAGGGTTACCCTAAACTCAAAAGACTTCTCAGGGCAACAAAGTCAGTGGTTTCTCCCTGCCATTCTGTTATTACCCCTCATCATGGAGAGAGGACAGAAACTGTGGCTTCCCTCTCAAGTTTTAGCCCATCCTAGGGCTAAATTAGCCTCAAATTCAGACTGGAATCTATAATTCTTTTCTCCTGACTCATTCTCTCTTTAGGGAATGCTGGGATGGGAGGTCAGCAGGTTTGTCCTAATTGCTGATTGGTCCTTCGAGGCCTCCTGGGGGCTTCCATTCTGTGTAGACGGTGTTCAGGGTCTGGAGGGGAAATTTCCTTGCAGGTGCTGAAGTAGTAGGGACATTTAGGAGATCAGTTCCCCAGGAAGAGGCTGCTGACTAGTCAGAACCACAGAGAAGTAAGTCCAAAGCTAGAGATGATGGGTAGAAAGGGAACTTCTCAAACTCGTTCCCTCTTCTTTAGCAACAACCTTTCCAAGGATCTCAGAATGTCAGAGCTGAAAAAGATCTTGGGGATGCCTTGTCAAGGCCAACTCCCTCCTTTTAGAGAGGAGCAAAGGCCCAGAGAGGACAAGTGACTTGTCCGACATCACATAGTCAGTGCAGAACTTCCATGCTTCAAAGATAACAAATCCTTCCAGCAGTCAAGACTGTAAACAGAGGTAGCCATAGTCAAACTCTGAAATCTGTAGATTCCTCTGGCCTTCTCGGTGCTGCTTCCTCCTTCCAGGGGTGACCCTCAGGACTCTTAAAGAGCCATGTGTTCTGCTGCTCTCTGCCTACTAGAGAATGGACTCCAAGGTGCTTTCTAGAGATAGGCAGTTTGAGAGTGCTAGGAAGTTCTGCCTGCACTGCCTAGATCTCCAACCAGTTGGTCCATAAATGCCAACATTTAATCTTCGTGCCTTTGGATTTTCTATTTTTCAGAACCTCCTCTTAAATCCAGGGCATGGAAAAAGAGGAGGGAGAGTACCAAACACAAACTCCAGCAAACTTAATAATTTGCTGCCCGTGGAAAAGTCCCAGGTTGAGTAGAGTCTCCTGATAAAGAGCCATCCCTTGTCATCCCCAATCTTTACACTTCTTCCCTCTCCCCAAGTTTCCTGAGATCCACTAAGGCCACACTGGGGAAGGGAAATGTCAAGGAAAGGTGGGTTATTGCCTTGGTCTATACTCCCCCGATGACTGTTCTCTCTCGGGCCAAATTTGGACAAATATTCCTAGACATGACCTGGGATGTTTGGGCATTTGAATCTGTTTGGGGATGGAAGAGAATATATGTATGTATGTATGTAGAAAAGGAGGATTCAATAACAACTGAAATCATCCTGGGAGTGGGGATAAGGTAGAATCCAAGCTGCCACCATCCCCCTCAAGTCCTGGTCACTGGGCTTTCTTGCAGTTGTGGGCCCAAGACAAGGGGACATTGCCTTTCCTGTGGCTGTCCTAGTCTCAGGATCTCCATGAGATGGAGGTGGCAAACTCCTTGGCACTTCCCAAGCTGGGCTGTGCACCAAGGTTTCTACCACCTCCACCCTCTTGGCATGGTCTCAATGACCTCCTCAGAAACCCTGAAGGTCCTTCCAGGAGTCAAGGGAGGAAGAGGCAGTGACTGAAAGTCGGCAACATTGTAATGGCAAAGCCAATCATGTCCACTAAATTATTCTGTAATTTGCCTTGATCATCTCTAATTGTGTAATCCCAAATAATTCCAAATCCCAGGGTCATTGCAATGTTCCAGTCATTAGGACATTTTCCTCCCCTCCCTCAAAAAACTTCTAGGGGAGATGAGAATGGGGGCACGAATAGTGTTGATGACTGAGCAGACCTTCTGGACCCTTCCCACTGCCATCATTGCCATCCCGGTAGGGAAAGAACACTTCTTAGCCCTAGTTTGTATTTCAAAATAAGTGTTTTTTTAAAAACCTTCAAAATAAATACCAAGGATGTTTTCTAACTCTTCCCACATGGATGGTTTTCCCTCCTTTCTTATAAACTCATAGAGCATCAGAATTGGAAGATACCTTAGAATATCAGAGCAAGAAGGGACCCTAGAACAAAGAACATAGAATGTCAGAGCAGGAGGGACCTTAGAACATAGACTATTAGAGTTGGAAGGTACCTTACACATCTAATTCGATGTGTGATATCTTACAAATGAGGAAACCGTGGCTTGCCCAACATCATGCAACAAATTAGAAGCAAAGCTGAGATTAGAATCATACAATCCTATAGTCTGAAGATACTTCTTAGGTCATTCAGTCTAATCTGTCACCCAATTCAGGAACCCCTTCTTTAGAATCTTCATTAAGGACTCACCCAAATTCTGCTTAAACACTTCCAATGATGGGAAGCTCACTACCTATTGTAGTATTTTACTCCACCTTTGGTCAACTATTATTGTGAGCTCTTCCTGAAAATAAGCTGAAATCTGCCTCCCTATAACTTCTGCTCATTGACCCATGAGTCTGGCCATCATGATGAGCAAGTTTTCTCTCTTCCCATTTATAACCTTTCAGTACTTAGATATTGGTGCTAGCCCCACTAAGCCTGCTGTTCTCCAAGCTAAACGTCCTTAATGTGCCAGTGAAAGTAAATTTAAAATGTTTCTGGTGGGAAATATGTATGTGTGTGTGTGCACATGTGTTTGTGTGTTCATGTGTGTGTGTATCTGTGGTGGGGGAGCTCAGGAAAGGGTTTAAGGAGGATTGGGAATGTAGGTGGGGTTAACTGTTTCAAGACTGTTCAAGGCTGAGGCAGTCAGTACACGGTTCTTGCCTCAACTACTGCAAGGGTAGCATGGTTACATTTTGCAAAAGCACATCATGTTTCTGAGAAAAACAAATGGAGGAAAATTTTCATCCTGGTCCCAGCTATGTGTCCCCCATGTCCAGCAGAACAGAGTAACAAGGAACCATGTATTTATTCAGGGGGTAACTGAGGCAAGGAAGGCTGTGGAAATCTGTTGAAGGAAAGGTGCTTATTGCTGTCCCTCTTGGGAATGCCTTGTTAGGAAGGTAAAAGGAGGCCAGCCACAAGACTGAGAAAGTAACTTGCCTGGGCCCCTAGAGATGGGAATCCTTCAGAAGACACCAGGACATTGTCTCTGGGGAATCCGACCTTTTCCACAAGGTAGGGAGCAGCAGGGCCTAGAATCTTAAGCATACTGGGCCTCGTTGCCTCATTATACCAGGAGATCAAGGCTACTGACTAATCAAAACTATAGAGAAGTAAGTCCAAAGCTGCAGATGAAAGTTAGAAGGGAACTTCTCAAACTGGTTCCCTCTTCTTTAGCAACAACTTTTCAAAGGATCTCAGAATGTCAGAGATCTTGGGGATGCATCATCAAGGCCAACCCCCTCCTTTTAGAGAGAAGCAAAGGCCCATAGAGGACAAGTGACTTGTCTGAGGTCACATAGGTAGTCAGTGGCAGAACTCCCATGCTTCAAAGACAACAAATCCTTCCAGCAATTGAGACTGTAAACAGAAGTAGCCATAGCCAAACTCTGAAATCTACAGATTCCTCTGGCCTTCTAGGTACTGCTCCCTCCTCCCAGGGATGACTCTTCAGGACTGTTTCTTAAAGAGCAATGTGTTCTGCTGCTTTCTGCCTGCTAGAGAATGGACTGCAAGATGCTTTCTATAGATGGGCAGTTTGAGAGTTCTAGGAAGATCTGCCTGCCTAGACCAGTTGGTTTATAAAGGCCAATATTTAATCTTCATGTCTTCAGATCTTCTATTTTCCAGAGCCTCCTTTTAAAACCCAAGGCATGGAAAGAGAGGAGGGAGGGTACCAAACACAAACTCTTCCTCTTGGGCTCTTGGATGGAGGTATGCCAATCCTGCCCAGGGGAGAATGTTCCACTCTGCCTATGTTCCCTCTGCTCACGGCAGATTATCTCCCTTTGTCTTTGATGTTCCTCTTCTGAGACAAGAATCACATCAAGAAGAGGAGCAGAGCTGTGTGACCCTGGGCAAGTCACTTAACCCCATTGCCTAACCAAAAAAAAAAAAGAGAGAAGCAGGTGGTACACCAGGAAATGGATGGTGTGCTGTCCTAGAAGCCTGGAGAGTTGAATTCTGGTCCCTATTCTGCCTCTGGTGATTTAAGCACCTTGGGCAAATCCCTAAACCTCTAAGCTTCAGGTTCCTTGCCTTCCCATTAGTTTAGTATGCCTCACCCATGTCCTCTGGACAGCTTCTAGCCCTTTTTTTTGCCCTGTGACTCTCACCTGGGAAATGCCCCACCTTAGTACTACCAGGAAATACTTCTAATAATGTATAACTAGGCCTAGAGTCAGCTCAGTGCGATGTATCACGGAGTTGACTTCATGGGGGAGGCTATTTGGGGCTGAAATAGGCTTGATAAATCCACGCAGAAGACTATAAAACCTTGGGAGCCATAAATTCCTCTGCCTTCACCCTACCAATTACTCTGTCCCATCAGCCCTTCGCCCAGTTAATCACAAATCACTCCAAGCCCAGTGATAGTTCTCCCAGGCTGGCTGTGTTTCTATCAACTCAGGGAGCTGACCTCTTCTCCCTCACCCATAGGGGATCACAAAGGGATCATCCTACTCCCTCATTTAACAGATGATGAAACAGAGGTTCAGGGAGGATGAGGTATTTACCTAGGGTCACACAGGTAGTGTCAGAGGCAGGGTTTGAACCCAGATCCTCTTAATCTGGAGTTGGTTCTCTTTCTTCTGGACCACACTGCTCTGAACACACCACTCCAGAATCAAAGACCAGCAGTGTCTTTTTCCTTCTTTTAGTTGCTTAGGCCCTGAACTCTGTTTTCAGGGTTGGAACCAACTTGGTGTCACAGAAAGGAACATTGAAGTAGGTATCAGAGGATATTAGGGAGGTGCTCTATAAATGTTTAAGTCTTGTAATGAGCTGGCATTTACCATATGTTGGCTACTAGGGGAAACAAAGAGGTAGAATTACATGATAAAAATGGTCATGGTAGAAAGGGCCCTGGTTTGGAACTCAGAGGGGCTGAAAGGGGGTTCTGCTACTTCCTATCTCTATTATCCAGGGTTAGTTTTTTCCTACCCTGTACTTTAGTTTATATATCTGTAAAATAAGGAACTTAAGCTATCTCATCTCCAAGGTCTCATCTAGCTCTAAATTTTCCAAGTATTATTCCCATTTTATAGGTCAGGATACCGAGACACTGAGGTTAAATTATTTGCCCAGGGTCATAAAACTAACATGTCAGATTCTCCCCCTTAAGAATCTAAAATGAGTGTTCATATAGGAGGGTAATCAATAATACAAAGCAGTATGTGGCATGGTGACCTGTTCTCTGTCTTTTATGACCTCAATACTTTGTTGAATCAAGACACAATTCGTTAGGAGCTCCTGGAGACAGGGTAGGGGATCCCCAGGCTGCCTAAGGAGGGACAAGGTCAGAAACAGAGCAGGTCAAAACTCACATGCCAATCAGCTTATGAATGATCACTGCACTTCCTGCCTGGGCAATAGGGAGTCTCTAAAGGAAAAAAAAAAAAACAACAAAAAGATAAATGCACTTATGTATGATGCTGTCATCCTAAAATAATTATGATGAAGATTATAAATAATAAAAGTTCACACTCCTATGGAGCTTTCAAGTTCACAAAACACTATCCTCACAATGACCCTATTGTTAGATTGTTCCCATTTTACAGAGGAAGATACAGCCTCAAGGAGCCCAAGTCACACAGCTGATAAATGTCAAAGTAGGGACTCAAGTCTTCTCACTTCAAGACCAGGGCTCCCTGTGAGAAACTGTCATTCTTTCTACCATATTGGCCTGCTTCTCCAATTAAACTTTAAATCTTTGAGGTCAAAGCCTATGTCATGCTTCTCTTTCTTCCCCAGGTATAGTTCCACAGTAAGCTCTTAATCAGTACATGGGTCTGGAGTGAAAAGAGCCCTGCACTTGGAGTCAGAATCCCAGCTCTACCATTTGGCATTGGGCACATCATTCACTTAGTTTAGCTTAGATGAGCCTTAGTTTACCCATCTGTAAAATGGGGGTGACAATACTTATACTACCTATTTCAGAAGATCAGTGTAAGGAAAGTATTTTGTAAACTGGAAAGTGCTGAAGAATTGTGAGCTGTTATTATTAGTGTCCCAGCAAATCTTTATTGAATGTCTGAATGAATAAGTAAATGAAATGACACCACCTTTGTATGTAGGCTCTGAGATTTCACCTGGCAGGGTCAAGTCGAGGATATGGGAATGTGGTATTTTTAGATAAGTCCTTACCATAAAACTTAATCTGTTTCGTTTTTGAAAGGTCCCCACCCTGCTTCCAGCCCCAGCGATGAAATAGCCCCTCGGCCTTGGGAAGCACAGCAAGGCTTATCTTGGGGGGAAAAGAAAACTGTAAATGAGCTTTATGGCTCTTAGATGATGTCTCACAGAGGCAATGATTGGGGCCATAAACCACAGGCCTGCTCACTAGGGCACTGCCCTGCAGGAAGCCTGGAGACTGATGCTTCAGGGCTCAGAGATACGTGCTGCTGAGCAAGGCAAGCAGTTATCAGGTGCCCGGAGGCGCAGCTTCATCAAGGTTAACTGTAAGACGCCTCAGAGGGCACAGCAGAGAACGTGGAGGGGGGGGGCTGAGGGGGAAATGAGGATTCCTTAATCTAGAGGAGAAAAGGCTGAAGGGAGACAGTCTTGCTTTTCAAGATTAATATGCTGTCTTTTGTAGAAGGTCTCATACTGAAGAATGGTAGAATTATAGAAGGGAATTTGAGTATAGAATGTTAGAATCCAGGATGTTAGAGCTAGTGATTACCTTAGGACAGAGGCTGGTGGATACCAGGGCCCAAAAGGGCTTTAGAACAAAAAGGGTGACAGATTTGGAAGGGATGCTAGCAATGGAAGAGATGCTAGAAACACCATAGTCCAACCTTCTCATTTTGTGGTCAGATTCCCCACCCAATAAGCATCCCTATTCCATAG